ACCTTCTTGGCCATCTTGGCACACTGTTGGCTCATATCCAACCAGTTGTTGACCAGCACCCCAAGTCCCTTTCTGCTGAACAACTCTCAAGCCAGTCTCCTCCAAGCCTGTAGCGCTGCTTGGGGTTGTTGCAAAACAAGTTCAGGACCCAGCGCTTGGCCTTATTGAACCTCATGCAGTTGTCCTCAGCCCAATGATCCAGTCTGTCCAGTTCTCTGTGTGAAGCCTTGCTATCCTCTAGCAGATCAACACTCCCACCTAACTTGGCATCGTCTGCAAACTTACTGAGGATGCACTGGAGCCCCTTCTCCAAACCATTGATAAAGATATTAAACAGAACAGAGTCCAGTACTGAGACCTGGGAAATACTGTTAGAGACCAGAAGAAGGCAGTGACAGAAGGTGATAGTAGCAGTTGAAACAGATACATCAGGATGGGATGACCAGCTAAACTTGCTGAAGTGTAGAACATCACTAGGTCTTTTGGGAGAGGCTTGACTGCCAGGACACTTAGGGATGTTCTGCAGAATAGCGTTCGCTATCATAATACACCTTTCGTTGCTTTCATCTCCTGCTTGAAACATGGTCCAATTGCCTAAAAGGAGCTTGACAGGGAAAATCATAACAATAAATGTGGTGTATCAGTACTTGTTGTCATCACAATATAAAACAGATTATTTTGTGCTGGAAGGATATAGAGATACAGATCTGCCTTAAGCACCATGTCCAAAATGGCTCATTCTTACAAGAATTAATTACACATACCAAGAAAATAGTGATAGCCAATAAAGCATGATCTTCTCTTCTATCAGAGATCGTGATAGAATGAAATGTAAACCCCACCAACTGTATTCATAGAAACAATAGATAGTTATAGGTAATTTATATGAATATTCATATATGAGCTCAGGAAATGGGCACCTTGTTGTTCATCACTTTAAAACATGTTTATAGAATACAAATATATTGGTGCTTGTTTTTTTTTTCTAGTGTTGATGAAAATGAATAGTACTTGGGGACCAAGTCTGCCTATTAAAGCGATGTGATACATTACCATGCTTGTACAGAAATGAGCACAGATGGTGGGTCTATTACTTCTCTAGCAAGAAATTTGTCATTTTTTTTTCCCCAGGATTCAAATCTGAGCAACACTTACTCAAGTCAGACTACCTCTGTGGGGATCCTTAAAATGTTTTTGCCATTACTTGTACATTAGTACTTAGAGAAACAGCAAGTGATTAATGCTGTATTAAAACTTTATAATAAATGAAGTCTCTCAAACCAAGTGTGAGATTTTTACATTTCCTTCCCCTCCAACTTAAGGGAAATATATTTTGCATGTAAATGTAAATCTACAGGGATGAAGTTTTGTGTACCATGCTCAGATTCCCAATAGCTTGTTTAGCTTTGACAGATCATTTAGTTTACATTAGTATGTTTGAAGATGTTAGATTTATAGACATTTGTTAATTAAACACGATGATATGTGGAATATGAAACAACAACGTATAAGTAATTTATAACTTTTGTATGCAAAAGATACCATTTCAAGCAGCAAAAGAATAGGTTAAACAAAAAGAGATTAACTTCCATAATCTTACTTTTATGATAATAATCAATAATCAATACTTCATAAGCTTTTGTCAATGCCTTATTATACACCTGAAGAAAGAAAAAAGGTTTCCAGTCTGCCTTATAACTTGTCAGAACATGTAATTACAACAAACTCAAAGTTATATGATACTTTTTATGTCAGTTTGTCAAATCCGGATCACCTTCCAGTGGAAGTAAATTTAATATGTGTTGGGATTTCCAATACAAGAAAAAAGTAATAGATAGTAGAGTTCCTCTATCTGGAAAGCAGATGTATATGTATTTTTGCTTTGAGAGAATATGAAAAGGAATGACTATAAGAGAATGAGTACGAGTGCGAGAGAGAGAAAATCAAAGTAATTGCTAACACTTTTTACTGGTGAGTAAATCCAACAGTTCCTTATGAACCACAGCTGAAGAGGAATTCGGAGAATGTCAGCTCTGAAGAGGTTGGGGAACATAATTGGAACTCCTAATATTGGGTCCACTCACCAGACAGCACTGCTTTCCTAGCTACTTTTGCTCATGTGAAAGAAGTGTTAGTCCTATGGCAAATATCAGCTGTGCAAGGCTGTGGATTTCAGTGTAGAAATAGCTGAAAAAGAAATGATGGTCAGTCTTGAATGAATCATTGCCAAATAATTCCCAGGTGAGCTAAACAGATAAAATTGGTGCCTAGGGAAGTCTCAGCTTCTATGTGATTGATTTCTTCCTGCATGGTTAGAGAAACGAGTATTGTCAATTGAATTAAAAAAAAGAGAAAGGGTATTCTTTTTCAAAGTTATACAGCTCGACTGAGCTGTGGACAGCTTGGGCCCTGAATTTGAGCGGTTGCAGCTGCGAGGTTGTGAAGGAATGTAAACATTGAAGATGAGAGGGTGGACAGGGAAGATGGAGCTGTGGGTTAACTGTGATAGCCGGAGATCCTGGACTGTCTGCTGAATCATCCTGAGTTTGCAGAAGCTATAGAACAGCCAATCTTGACACGTTTATGTAGTAGGGGCACCGATGGTGATGAAAGACGCTGGCTAGAAAAGACTATAAATTAACAACGTTTGTATGAAATAAAGGTCTTATTTTTGGAAGAAGAGTGTGTGATGCCATGTTTGTGGCCATCCCAGCAGCGGCAGTTCACAGGTGAATGTGTGATAGTTGAGTTTGCAGCATTTAAAAAAAAACCTGTTAATTGAAGAATTCTGAGTGAAAGAAAGTGAGAACACAGATTTTGCATGCTGTGCAACAGAACACAAGAGCACTGCATAGAAAGGATAGCCATAACCTTCAAGACTTTTTATAGTGTTACAGTATGAAGAGAAATTTCTGTGTTGCGTTAAACCAATATGTTAGTTAAACCAGTTGTCTTTCTGGTAAGTGCACCATTGTCCAGCTGGAATGAATTCCTTATTGATTCATCTATTTTAACTTAGACAAATGACTGTTAAAGGATTTTTTTGGTGAAGGTTTTTACATTTACTTTTTCAGCTAAGAACTACCAGAAGATTCGTTGACCCTTCTCAAATTGCTGCATTAAACAATCACCCACTAGCAGGCACGCTGTGGATTTTTTACACACCTCTGTACAAAGCTTTCCCCCATCACTTCAAGCTGGCAAGTAGCTTCATTGCTACAAGACAGCACAAAAAGCTGTCTGCTATAAAACAAAATAACACTTTTTGAAGACTGTGAGCATTCATATATTCAATGTGTGCACTTCCTTAGGAATATCCTGAATCTCATTTAAGGTGATATTTAAGAAAAGATCAAAGATAAAATATCATTGTTATGTGGCAACCTTGTTCTACTGAACTACATTCAGTGTTTAGCATATATGGAAGATTTTCTGCAGAGCTAAGAGAACATGTAGTGTTTTTCATTAAAAAAAATTAGTAAAATTTGAATATGCTGTGTTATCTATGCTCATACGCGAATCTAACAGGCAGGAATTAGACTTTTTTTTACTCCACTTTTGTTAAGGTTATTTCCTTTCTTTTTCTGACAGCATAACAGCTGGCAAAATACTTTTGAGACAGAGATGTATAGAGCTATCCTCTTAAAGGGTATGCAGGCAATATGTAACATATGGAGGGGATTTGCATACTTTACAATATCTGTGATGAGAAGGTAGATATTCAGTTTTTCTTGCATAACTTGAGTATTACATATAACATGGTAAGTTGAATGAAGAATTGCATCTTGATAAGCCGCAGAATTCTGCTAGGTTGTTAGTTCAGTTTCTGTATTTTGAGTTTTGATGTATTAGAAACAATGTTCTAATTACTACAGTAGTTCGTTCTGGATCCCTTTCCCCACCCACGACGTGGGGGAGCCCAGTTCTTGTTCCATCTCCATCTGAAGAACCATTCCGACGTCTTGAGGGATGGGGAAAGGGAACTCCAGCGACAGGGTTTTTCAGGTCCCGAGCCTGGAGGGGAGAAGTGCCCTCCCCTCCCCCCAGCACCCATGTGGGTCCATGGCTGGTACAGAGACAGCACACCGGCGTGGAGAGGAGGCAAGAGGGAGTTTATTGTTGGGATGTTACATTTATAGGGTTAGGAGGAATCACAGGTTAACTAATTAGAAGTCTCAAGGGGCTTACAGGAACGCCCAATCACAGGAAGGGGTTAACAAGGACCAATACGAAATACCTCAGGACACCTTTCCCAGGACATTCCTGCATGGGAGATAACAGTTGTCGTGGGGGGTGTTGGGAAGAAGAAACACATGTTTGCAAAGAGACCACAAAGAGCCATTTTAAGACATGTCCAAACAAGTTTCTCATCAGATTTAGCGCTACAAGTTCTTTCTGGAATCACCATATATCTGGTTTCTATTTCTTCTTTTTTACATATCTATATATTAAGTACATTTTGGCCTCTGTACCTATATAATTTTTGTAATGCTAAATAATTTATGCACAATGTGATTGTTGTCCTGCAATAAGTATTCTGTCTGCATGTGCGCTCACAAAAACACTAGGAAACTTCAGGTTTAATTCTGAACATGCAGTATGTGGAGAATCTGGAGTCTGTTTTAAAACTGAAATGTGATACATTTAGGCAATCATCATGTAGTTCATATTTAGCAAAACCAAAGTGGAGAACAGTCTTTTTGCACAGACACAAAAAAGCCATGCATAGGGCACAATGTTTTGTGGTTCAAAATGCAAATAACTTTCCTTGTTAAAGTCTGTAGCAAACTTAAAGCTATAATAAATAACAGAACTTTGTGGAATGTAGTAATTATATTTTGCTGTATTTCTTTTTTTGTGAAAAATATGTGCACAAAATTAATGCATCTCATTAAAGTGGAATGTTGGTGCCATGAGAGATAATACAAACTAAAAGATGACTCTCTAAGAGTAGAATAAGTTACTAAACCATTTTTGTGTGTGTTTCTGTATTAAACTAGCTATACACGTCGTGTGGTTGGCAGTGGAATCAAAGCTCAGTCTGCAAATCCAGAAGTAAAAGTGAAGGGAACAGATCCTGTAATAAGTCGAATTATTGACAAGCTGAAACATGTTATTCAGGTAAGCTGCTTTTTCCTATAGATACAGTATAATACTAACTACCACTCTAGTAATGAAAGTATTAATTTAGTGTACATTAAAGGTTAATTGTTAATTCAAGTTACTGCTGAATGCACATCAACAGCAAAACACCAGTTGCTGTCTCACTTCAGTTATTAAAAATGATTTAGTTAAAAAGCTTGCATATGGTAGATAAGTGTAGGAAGTGAGACTGGCAGCTGGGCCATCTGTACCTGCAAGTGCCACAGCTCAGCATCGCAGTAAGCGTACAGAAGCACAAACAGTATGATTTAGGTATATTAATTGAGTGCATATGTTTAAATAAAAATAAAACATAATTTCCCTCTTCCCTCTTTACTAAATCTAGGTTCTTTCTTAACTAATATTGTTGCAAGGTTTCTTGTTTAGATGCCAGATTAAAAAACTAGGAAGTGTGAATGAAAATCACATGCTTGCTAAAGGAGTTGGTGTGCATTACCTGATATACATATCTGTGAGTTACTTAGTTTTAGGCTTACAAGGCAGTCAATTCCAATATGGTTCCACACAATAAAGTGTTGTAATAAGTTTACAGGATTACAGGTATCTTTGGTTACATGCTGTATTTACATGCACAGGTAGGCAGAACTACAGGACAAAAGCCTGATTCTCTTGAAGGCAGCAGTTAGTTTGCCAACAGCTCTGTATTTCAGTTTAAAAATATAAGTTTTCACTCTGATCTGAAGACTCAGTGACAAGAATGTTCTACTGGCATTTTTTGTCAGTGACCCATCTAACCCAGTATCCTCTCACCTGCACTGGTAAAGGGAGAGCATGCACACTTGGCACCTTTGTGGCCTCCATACCCTTTCTCTACCTCATTCCTCAAACATGAGAATTAGAGATATTACAAGTCTTTTCCTTGTCTAGTGCATTTAGTTCCATCTAAGGGCTTGCTTTAATTTTTTTTCTGCATCTTCTCAGTAGCTTTTAAATGCAATTTCTCAAATGATTTCTGGAGTTTAAATATTACTGATTGCTGCATGGTAAGCCCTCTTCTTCTTATATTTCAATTTGTGAACAATAGCTCTTCTCTGACAACAAAAGAGAGAGTGGTGAAATAGGAAAAAAAAAGAACCCAACAGAAAAATTTCTTTTCCATCAGTAGTGTTGTTTTCTGGGAGAAGTGCCATCAAGAATGAAGCTCAAAGGCCATCATTATTCCTTCCTTCTTGAAAGAAATATCTTTTGTATTCCTCCAGCTTTAGCATGCTTTTGTCTCTCTTCTTTATTAAAATTTTCCATACAAAGAGATGCTATGGCTTAATTAATAGCTACAAAATAGTATGCAGAGACAAACTTTGCAAATCTTACTGGGTAAGTCCCAAGGTCTTTAATCTATCAGGAATGCCCTCATCCTTTGATATTAAATCTGCACTGTATATTTGATAGTGCTGTTTTCCTCTAGAGACTAGGAGTTGTGTTGTTTTCTCCTCAAGGGAGTATCTGAAAGAGTGGAATAAAATATTTCCATTATAAAGTACTTCATTTTGAGAGCTTATTTTCCCTTTTCCCAAAAGAGTCTAGTGGATCTTGGGGAAAAGGACATATAATTTACGGACTGAAATTCTTACTAGGCTCCAAATATGTTATCTTTCTGTGGGACAGCTTCTTTGCTTGTAGCTCTGAGTATGAAAATAGGGTCGAAGGATAAAGAGAGCATCAAATTCCTTACAGACCTGACATATAACTGCTTTTCCTCAATAAAAAAAGAGCTGAAGAAACTGCAGAAAAAGCTTTCTTCTGTACCATTTACTGCTTGGGAAAGGAAGAGGAGGAGTGGAAATTACAGATTCAAATACAAAAGAACACCTCTTTGTCCTTTGTGATATGAAAAGGATGAATCACATATTAAGCTTATGATGGGCTGGTAAATAAGGGGAGCTTAATGGATTCTGGTGTTGCCTCAGATTTAGGCAGAGTTATACTTTAGCACTCTATTCAAGCAGTATACTTTGAACTTCAAAGTTTTAAATAGCTAATTTGATAGAAACAAAACATTTGTCATGCTTTTCAGAACCAATCATTCCTGGAATTTATAAAAGTTTATATACTTTAATTCAGTTTTACAGTGACATAGATTGGCAGGTTGGTATATACCTTGCTATTTATGGAAGCAACTATATATATTTTTATACAAATCCCATGTTGCTGTAACCTTGATAAACAAGTAATTTTTTTTTATTTAGTTTTGCTTTGTATGTAGCTATTTGCTCTCGATATTAGGAGAAAGTAAATGGGAGTGGTAATTTAAGTTTATTTGACTTTTCACATCAGCTTTTAAACATTTAAAGATTAAGGACATCAAAATAGCATTTCTTTCTGTCTCATCCTGTCATAATAAGATATGGTCCTTCCTTCCCAACCACAGTCAGAGCTCTGAGTATATATAGTACAGCCTGATTTTCTTTTGCTGGTACTGCCTGTGATGGTACTGAGGCCTTCAGGACCGAACAATCTCTGCCACTTGGTAAATATCAACATGCACAAAGACTCAGAAGCTTTGCTTCTGGTACTTTTCACAGTAAAAATGGTAAAATGCCCTGAAATGCAATTTAAGCAGTGACAACCTGTGACTGTTGTTTGTAGCAGGGGTGGAGTTCAGTTCTTTAATCAGACACCTGCATTTTGGTGTTTAAACTTCCCTTATATACAGATCTACTCCACGGACCTTAGAGAACTGTTCATTTGGCCCTGGGTAAATGTATACTTCAAGATAAGATGGACAGTAGTTCTTTAGTCCTGCACAATACATAAGAAGTTTGGGTACATTGCCCACGTGTTGGCATCTCTACTGTAGACACCTGCAGTTAGGTGTCTGTTCTGAAGGATTTCACCCTTGTGTCACATTTCTGATCCCTTTTCAAAAGATAGTCAATTTGAACACACAGATTAGAAATGTACCATTTTCTAAAGAGAAATATTTAGCATATACAAACACATATGTATATATATATGTATATACACGCATATTTCATTTTATGATTATATGATTTTCCAATTGTTAAAAAAATATGATTAAACTGTAGAAGGACTACTTTGAAGATGGTGGCTAGTTTTGCATTTAGAATACATCATTTAAGATAAATTGAAAAACACCTCCTAAATAGATTTTGTCCTTCCAGACCAGAAAAAGTAATTCTTTTTAGTAAATCCGGAGTATAAAAACTCTGTTCAAAAGCTTCATTGTTTTATGAAACCTTATTTTCTCTTTACCTTCAAAGCAGATGATCACTTTTATGACCAATTGCATTGAATTTCCCTTCTTACTTTCAAGATTCCCAGCAAGAAGGTAAGAAGGAACTGATTATTTTGAGATGTAAAGGGAGATCCCATTTAAGGGATGCTGCAGTGAGCTCTCAGAAAATCAGGCAGAACATATTTATCATAAAAATGACTAAATATTATCAAATAACAAAGAAGAACAGACATCTTTGAGATCCCTTCCTGCTCATATTTAATGTGTACATAAGAAAACTGACCAAGACCATTCTGCCCTGCATACAGAAAAGAACAGATTTCTCTTAGTATCTCCTCTGTTCTTACCAGTTAGATATGCAAATGCATAAAAATCCCAATCAAATGGTCAGCTTTAAAATATGTAAGTATACAATGCTTAAACATACTCTGTTTTCCAGGTTCTCTCCTGTTAGAAATTTTAAACCCCTGAAATCAAACTGGTTGTGTAAGTGACAGTATCTCTTTTCAGCAGGCTGTGGTTTCTGTGCAGTTCTCCTTTGTGAGAGGCTCACAGTAACCTCCTTTTTCTGTAAATAGTGGATTTAACAAAAAATCAATAGAACTTTTTGATTCTATTGGACCCCGACAGCTATAATCTGTGCTCTGGACTCCACAGGTTCGTATTCACAGTGACAAAGTGCAGTTAGAGGAACTGACATAAACTCTGCTGAACCAGTCAATGCTGAATATGGTTTGACAAAGTCACCTTCTTCTGTAAAAATCCTTACTTGTACAGACTGGTGTTTTGGAGAGTTTTAAATGATGGTATCCTCTTCATTCATTTGTCTTCACGGCAGGCAAATAATGGGTTCAGTGCATATTCTTTTATGTACTGCAATCTGCAACTATCACTCTAATAGGCAATCAAGATATGCAAAGTCGGTTGCATATGGCAGGAATAATAATGGTAATTATTTTTCTTTCTTCCCCAATAATTTAAAAACATGATTAATTTATTGTTCCTACAAGTGAAAATACTAAGGTTATGAAGTAAGTATAATATTTTGGAGCTGTGATTACAGGCAATTGGACCTTGGTCATTTCAGTGTGTTTTTTCTTTCAGATGACAATCTCAAAAAAGCTACCGCTTCTGAAAATAATACACATTACTTGGAGCTTCTATTAACAGGTTAAAGACTTCCTAATTTTAGAAAATCTTGCCATAGCAGAAGATACTCCTATGTCTGACTCTCTAAATTAGGCAGACCAAATCTCCTTCTGGAGATCTCCATAGGTACCTACCACTAGTGACTATATTGGACATTTTAATGCTTCTGTCAAAATAAATTATTTCTAATTTCCAGGTGCAGTGAAAGATGTGTCTGAACTTCTTTAGAAAGGATTCCATATTATACTGCTAGACCACTGGACTGCACGCTAATATGCATGAAATAATATTTACTTTCTCCACAAAGGGCTGTGAACTGTCCCTGATAGTATTGATGCTTGCATTCTTTAAAGGAGCAAATGCCCCTACATCAAAAGACATTAAATGTAGGTGACAGTCTAATTTTTCCTTTACTACTGGTCATATATGTGTTTTTGTAAGAGCTTTTCAAGCACGGATTGGAAATGGTGATGTTACCTGAATCCTCATCTGCACATACAAAGAACCACATTTTTAAATTATTCATACACAAGATGTGGCACTTGCAGTTGTGTTTCCCTTTCACCGCTGATATCAAGTTTGTGCCTCCTTACTTTAGTGCTATGGTAATCAT